GGGATACGATCGGTACCGAGAGGACTCGATCGGGTTCGCGAACACACGAACTCGTAGGCCGGTCGTTGGATCCTGAGAGGACGGCGAAGTCGGTATCAAGAGCGCTTGATGGAGATAGCGAACACACAATCTCCAGGTGCCGATTTCGTCGATGTGGTTTCGGAAGATGACGGGCAGGTAGAAACGATACGGTCGGATACCTTGCTCTCCGCTCTGAAGCATCGAGTTCGGTCGGCGGTCCGGATCGGTCTCCCCGCTTATTTCTCGGCCACGGTTTATATACCGTCTCGTTACATTTGATGTTGTTTGTTGACGTTACGTGTCTTTAGGCGTGGCGCATGTTTATGTTTGTGTTATTTGTTTGGCGCTTAGCGCCGTTTACAGCCAACGGATGTTGTGTTGGCTGTTCTTAGGGACGATGCGTGTAAGGCATCGTTACACTACTTTTAAATTTTGAACAGAATGTTATAATGATTAATCCAAACAGAAAAAAATTAAAAAAATCTAAGAAAATCCAAATCAAATAAATCGAATTATTAAATTTGGAAAAAAACTTTTAAAAAATACTATTTAAAATAATAGTGTTATTTCGTCAAATGACATGGTTTCCTTGAATGAAATAAAAGTTTTTATTTTCATCATTAGTAGTATATGTACAGCTTCCGTGAGATAGGGCGTGGCCTATTTTTCGGTGGTGGGGGTAAAATCTGGCGCCAGTGTGTCGAGGGGTGGGGGAAGGGGGCCTAGGGGGTTAGATTGGGGTGAGTTGAGAGTGGGGGAGGGTCCCGAAATGGAATGGTGAGGGAAGAGTGTGAATTTTGCAGGTTTGGTGGAGGAAGGTAATGTGCGGAATAAAAAATTATTAATATTGGAAGTGGGGGCGGACGGTATGTCGCCCTCACTGTAAATCGGGTGGGGTTATTCAGAGTGATTTATGTATATTATTTTATTTCTTTTTATTGCATTGTTTCTTATAGCGTATAAACTTCGTCTCCTGCGGCATGAACGTTATCTGGAAGTTCCGAGTCTCGACTGATGAGTGAGTCGAGAAGGAGTAGGTGACGATGGAGGAGCTAGAGGTAGGGGGTAGTCGTCGGTTACTGCCATATAAGGGCGAGGGTAATTTATGCTATTGGTTCATTTACTGATCAGCTATTCACGGGGATTGGTTTTTACCTGAGGGTCTCTCCGCCTCGTCGCCTACGTCGACCCTTATAGAAATATCATACTGAGAATCATTGATAATTATTATCCAGTATTTTTAATACTGAAAATAAGTAATTATCAATGATTCTTAGTATGATATTTCTATAAGGGGAGAATATGTGAATGCTAAATGCGACCTGGAAAATTTAGTCGAAAAGGGATCTACTGAACGTTAGGCGAAGGTGGGGAGCTAGCGGGAGAGGGTAGTCGTCATATGTCCCAGCGTAAGGAGTAAGAAAGATCTGTTGGTTCGTTGTGGTCAGCTATGGTTATTCGCAGGGATTGTATCTTTCCGCCCTTCCCGCATCCTCGCTTACGTCGAAAAGAGTTGAGGGGGGACACGTTACCGGAAAATTATGACGAAAAGATGTTTCCTGAAAGTTAGAAGAGCGAGATAGAAAGAGTGAGAGAGAGAGAGAGAGAGAGAGAGAGAGAGAGAGAGGCGAGAGCAGGTCTGGACAGCTATGGTTATGCGCTGTTTGGTTTCGACTCCTTTAAGGGGTAACACCACTCTAGCGGTTGAAAAAAAGGCCTAATTTTGTGAATTTATTGTGGGAAAATGAGAAAAGGAATAGGATTTTCCTTTTGAGGGTTAATTGAGTATGTATTAAAGTATAGAAAGAAATTTTTTTATTGACATTTGTAAACAAAATGGCGGCGATACAGCGTATTTCCCAAATAACTTTTTTTAAAAAGTCCTCCACGGGCGGACACATATCTTGAAAAGTTTTCGACCTGGAACAACAAACCAAGAATTTTCTTAATTTAGATGTTATTGGCTAGAGAAGTACGTAGGGATTTTTTTTTAAATTGATTTTTGTAGAAACTGTGCACTAATGAAGAAAAAAATCGATTTTTGACCTAAAAATGTGTCAGTCAATTGTTTATAAAAAAAATTTACATTCAATCAAAAAACGGCTACGTACTTCTCTGAAGAACGTAATTACGAAGTTACTGTTAAAATTTGAAATCGATCGGTGGAACGGTCTTTGTGCAATGTGTCCGCCCAGTTCGAAAAAAGTGATTTTGAGATAATGGCGTTTAAAGTTTTTCAAGGCCATTTATTGTTGAAAATTTTATTTTACCTTTAATCTGCAATGCCTGCTCCATACATTTGGCCTTCTAAATTGATGCTCGCTTCCTCCTCTTCCTTCCTGGACGATTTTAACGACATTCTCGCCTTTTTAGCCTCCTCTGAAAGGGATCTCTCCGAAAGTTTGATCCGGCGCTCATCTGCTTCCATGCAAAAATTATAGCAATTGGGTCCAATTTTCATGCCCAATCCCTGCATCACCCTCATCACACTTGATAATCGATCATTAAATATGTCCGTAGCAATGTATACGGCAGTATCAAGGACGTGCTTGCCACTGGAAACAGTTTTTGGAGCCATTGACCACACTGTTGCATTCAGGCTCTCGTTACTGTTTTGCGTGAAACCGCCTAAGCAACGAAGGAGCAGGTCATCGCGACTCAATTCTTCGTAGATCGGAAGAATAGCCTTATAAACTTGTTCCGACATAGGCGTTTTATGAGTGTGCGCTGACCCCGTTGCACGTGCTTTCTGCCACGAGCACCAAGAGTCCTTTCCGGGCGGGCACCGTTCGTGTTGTGGGTTGGCGTCGGTTGATAATTTGTGATGCAACGTTGCATAAATATTATTTTTCATTTTATCAATTGAATCAGGATTTCTGCGAATTGCCAGGCCGTAATATATTGACAATTCATCTATTAACTTACCAGTCAACTTGCCTTTTCCCCCAAGTCCTTTTGTTGACTGTTTTAGTTTTCGAAGGCGAGAGCCCATCCGCTTTTGGACATGATCAATGCACTCCTTCTTTTTAACGATAAAA